CCCCCCGACACGTCCCACCACCTGCCCTTTCCCTCCCTTCCTCCCCCCCGAAAATATTCCTGCAACAAGAAGAACCTCCCCTCTCGAGAAACCAAATATTTCTATTATTGTAATTCCGCATAGCCCTTAAAATAGCTAAACTTTAATCGTATTTAATGTAAAGATTATGATTGTTACATCTCAGTGATTCTCTCCTTCACCAGTGACGTCTCGGAGAGATTAAAGCGAAAGTAAGAGAAAAGAGTGTGCGAGATAAAGAGGATCCTGATAACGTTAACGTAGTAAACGGTCGATCGATCGATTCTCTCCCGCATGTCACTGGTACCCGAATTCCTACATTTATCGCATTTGTAAATAAAATTTTTATCATCACATGAAACACACCGAAGTTGTATTATTTTCCACATAGACTGTCCCCGGTCAATTAGAAAATAGAACGCAATTATATAGGATAAAACACTCAATTGACATCCTCTTAGTCATTGGTAATTTAGAAAAAAAAATTGATTTTCTTTGCGCTTAGTATTGCGTTTTAAGCTTCTTACCTGCATTTATGATTCTAAAAGAGAATTTCACAACTGAAACTATGAACTGTCGCTGGCCGCTAGAAAAGCTCGGTTTTTCTAAAGAATCAATAATTTATTGTCAATAATTAAGTGTTTTATCTTGTACACAAAATATTTGACGCAAGACACGATTATACTCGCACGTGTGCAGGTAAATTAGATCAAACTAAATACAAAATTTCTCTACCATTTTACAAATAACGTATATTAGTGTGTTATTAATTGAAGGAAATTAACGAATAATTGTGCAACGATAATTCTTTAATCTTCATTAATTGATAACTCAAAATTGTGAGTGGTACAAAGTAATAGACGAATTTTATATTCAGGTTAATCTACTTGCACACGAGCACTGTCGTGTCTTGCGTCAGACGCAAGGAATTTTATCACGAAATGAAGATAAAGTAGTTATTATATTGTCGGTGCGAACGCATTATATAGATTTACGTGAAGGCGAAATACGAGAAAGAAACACGAAAGACGACTTAAGACACATAAATCATTATTCCACAGAGATAGTTTCTCTTATAAAATATGAACAGAGATAATACAAAAAAGGTATTTACACTCTACGTAGGTACATTAACTCGAGACAGAAGTGCGACATGAAAGAAATCATGTCCGATCGATGCACACCACCACTGGCGAGATACGCATAAAGGACTTTTGTATATAAATGCACATTTGACTGCCGTAATCGACGCGCGTGTCTACACTTTTATATACGTATCGTACCGACTCTTTGGCAAAAAAAAGATATAAAACACTCGGTGGCGAGAAGACTGATCTTCGCTCATTTCCTTCGTGCGGAAATGACGAAGTCGCGCGAATCGCCATTGCCGCGTAGTAACTCTCAAAGTCTTTCGCACAATCTCGAATGTTGCATTGCTACTGCGTGATTGGTTAGCTTTGATGCGATAAAACTGTTTGCTTACACGATGACGAAAGAAATTTAATTGCAATTGGCAAACGTGAGGCTAGGAAGTTTAAAGTTTAGCAGATCGTTTTCGTAATCACGCGTGATTAGAAGGAACGATATGTATATACATGTACTGTTGATAGCGATTATTTCTCATGGGAATTCTAATCAATGCGACAACAGTGAGTGTTACTGAAACACATTTCTTTTCTCCCGTTAATTAATATTTACACACGCAGGAGACATCCGATTTCCTATCGGCTCGGATTGCACGAAATTTCGGACAGAAACAAGCTTCACCAATAATTGAAATTGCTTTCAAACGAGCTTAACTAGACGCTTTACATAAATAAATAAAATATATTGTTTCTTGACGTTCGTATACTTCAGATATTTCGTTTCTCTTAAGAGAGATTTTTGAACTTTTGAACTATGCGCTTATTTTTCGCTGTTAAATTTACTTTCGCTGTTTATTTATTTATTTTTGCTGTTAAATGTTATTTAGGACTCAAAAATTTATACAATAAAATAAACAAAACGACTTATTTTTTCGAGATATCTATTCGCGATCAACATTAATGCTTTCTATAGAATGTCAGAAAGTGTGAATTTATAAAAATTATAGAAATTTTTAATTAGGCTCGATAGCGCCGCGCATTTGAATGCAGCGTATGTTTTATATATATATATATATATATATATATATATATATATATATATATATATA